TGACCTTATTCCAATCTTCGTTCGGGTCGAGGTGGACTGTCCGTTTAGCCTTGTACTTTCTTGTCCTAATCACTTCGTGGAACTTTCCTTCTATATGCTTTTCTTGGAGTACTTTTATCATCTCATCGATGATTTCGTCATCAGTCCTTTTCCTCAATTCTATCAACCACTCTCTATTCAATTGTTTTTCCTTTCTTGCCATTCTTCGCTCCTTTTCCATTTCATCCTTGTTTAATGCGAATCTCAGTTTTTCGTATTCGCATTCTCCCTCAGGCTGTTCACCTACCATATCATGCGGAAGTGGGATACTTGTCAAGATCTCAATCCCTTCCTCCTCCGTCCGTTTCTGCTTTTCTGTCTTCTCCTTACATTCTAGACATATATATTTATTATTTGACAAGAATAAATCAGTCTTGTTATTAAAGCAACTCGGTTTCAGTCCTTTATACTTCCTTTTCTGTTTAGACCATCCCGATGTCCCTTCAATCCCTTCCTCCTCTTCAGTGTCTCTTCTATCCGATTCCCCTATGTCACTTTCTTCGCCTTTTCCTCTTCTCACAGCCCCACTGTATGTTACATGACTTTTCGATCCCTTCCTGTTTTTGTCCGTCTCTTCCTTCCCAATCCTTATCCTCTCCAACTCTCTCCCAATCGGGACCTCTTTATTGTCCCATACTTCCCTTCTTTCTTTCCTCGGTAGCCTGGGAAAGTCCCTACTTCCTTCTTCCCTTATATCGTCCAGTCCTCCTACCCTGTCCGTTTCTATTTCTCCCATATTCCTGGATACGATCCCCCTCGCCGTTTCGAATTGCGCGTTTCGGAAAGCCATGACTTTCCGAATCGCTGCTTCCTTCTGCCACAACCAACATACTCTTGCCAGCGTGGCTCCCTCCGCAGTTAACACATTTTGGATTTTTCTCGCATCTACTATGTTCCGCCTCCCCACACACTAAGCACTTTTTAATTCGTTCTTTGCACATCGCCTGAAGGTGTCCAAATTTAAAACATCTAAAACACTGCTTAACAGGTTCTACGAATGGCTCAATTTTAATGCCAACATGGCCTTGATCTATCAGTAGTCTAGTGGGTAACACGTTACCTTTAAATGTAATCATAATTGACCGTAAAGGTTCATACACTACTTTTCCGTCCACTATTCTTTTCCTCTTCATCCTCTCTAGAACAGATTCTCCTTGGCCAGGCATTGCCTCCTCTTCCAGCTCCTTGATCGAGTCTTCCCACTCAAAAATAATCCCACGTCTGTACTTCATCCTCTTTCATCCTCCTCGGCAAGTACACGGACAGTTGACCCTCTCTGTTGTTATATTTCTTCAATAGGTGGTTCGCTTCCTCCCTTTCTTTTTGTCGTTGTCATGTTAAGGACACAGCACACCACATATTTCTCTCTTACAAGTCCTTCCTCGTACAAATCAACTGTTCTTTCTCTTTTATTCCTAATGTTTCCCTCTCTAGGGGCCACGTGCTGCGTATAATTTTCACCGTCACCACGTGTTGCTTCGATCACGCTTTCCCCATTCTTATTTTCTATCGTCTTATTTCTACTTTCTATTATCCTATTTTTGTTAATGTCTATTTCTACATTATAATTGTTCTCTTTACCTTCACTATCGTCCTTTCCTTCCTCCCCGATAATCTCAAAACTCTCCTTGTTCACTTCTACAATACTTACTTCTCTACGCTTGCTAAAAGAATGGCCGATTCTTTCTCCTTCACCATTCACTTCCCCACGCCTCCGTATCTCCTTCGTTGGCGCCACCGTCGCCACGCTTGCCAATCCCTGCTTCGCGTCATCCTTAAAATCCCCAGTCGGCGTTATCTCATTGGTCTCTCTATCTTCCATGTCTGATACGTCATTTCCTGACTCTTTCTCTTCCCTTCTTTTCTCCTTCCTGCCTCTCCCCTCCTGATGTTCTTCCTCCTCTTCCACTTCTCTTCCCCTTTTCTTCCTCTCTTCCATCTCCATTTTATTCTCTCCTCCTTTCACGTCTTTCTCCTCCTCGTTTTCCTTTCCTTTGCATTCCCTTTTGGACGCCTCTAGAACCGCCTTTTCCTCTTCTGCCAAATATTTTAAAGCCCAGTCTTTTCTTAAGCTTTTTAGTAAACTATTGTCCTCCTTTTCCACCTCTGCTTGTCCTCCTTTTCTCTCCTCGTTCTTCTTTATCATATCCTCTTCCTTTTCTCCCTCTTCAGAACTCATTTCTTCTTCCCATTTCTCCTGTTCCTCTTTCCTTTCCTCCACCTTGCTCTCTCTCCTCCTTTCCCCTTCTTCCCCTTCTTTTCTCGTTTCCCTGGTTCTAGGCCAACCAGGGAGGCCTTTTACTTTCATCAACTCTCCTCCTTCCTTACTGAAAAATCTCACCTACCAATAATATTATACTAAAGTATCTAATCACTAACAAACTAAACTGTCACTCTTGCCTAAAAATTATCCAATCGTGCACTAAAACAGCCAATATTTCAGGAGCTCAAACGTATCACGTGTCACTCTTCCGCCGCCATCTTCCGATCCCTCATCCTTCCACTCTCGCCCCTCGAACGTCTGTGCTCACTCCACCCATTTCTTTCTCTACCTTCATGCTTAAAGCACCGCAACTCTTTTATCACAATCTCTTACATTTAAACGCCTTATTTCTATTAACTTATTCTTACTATATACAAGGTTAGTCTTGTAACAAATATGTAGGATTAGTATCTTTCAAAACTATTTGCTCTCAAATTTGCTCTCTCTCTCTCTCTCTCTCTCTCTCTCTCTATATATATATATATATCTCTCTCTCTCTCTCTCTCTCTCTCTCTCTCTCTCTCTCTCTCTCTCTCTCTCTCTCTCTCTCTCTCTCTCTCTCTCTCTCTCTCTCTCTCTCTCTCTCTCTCTCTCTCTCTCTCTCTCTCTCTCTCTCTCTCTCTCTCTCTCTCTCTCTCTCTCTCTCTCTCTCTCTCTCTCTCTCTCTCTCTCTCTCTCTCTCTCTCTCTCTCTCTCTCTCTCTCTCTCTCTCTCTCTCTCTCTCTCTCTCTCTCTCTCTCTCTCTCTCTCTCTCTCTCTCTCTCTCTCTCTCTCTCTCTCTCTCTCTCTCTCTCTCTCTCTCTCTCTCTCTCTCTCTCTCTCTCTCTCTCTATATATATATATATATATATATATATATATATATATGAGTTTATAAGGAGGATGAGTATCTTAATAAAGGCACCTATCAACCGCAAAGGTTTAGCCTCCCCCATCTCTTTGGTTTCGTAAAAATCACATCCTGTTCTCATTTTACATCTACTCATCCTCCTTATAAACTCATATCTTTCTTCCCTATACTTATCACACTCCCACAAAAAGTGCTCAATATCCTCAATTCTATCACATACTTCGCAGTACGGATCTATCACCATAAACTTCCTAAACAACGACCATCTTAAATTGTAATGGTTCGCTCTTATTCTACTCATATTGCAAAAGGTCTCCCTACTCAACTCTCCTATACCCCTAAACCATGGGAAATCCTTACCCACATTATTCCATCTAGACTCAAAATACTTTCTCCCCTTATACTCTCCCTGTCTAAGATGCTTCTCTGTTGAAACCACCCATCCCCTTTCCTTCACCAACCTTCTAAAGTCCCTCAACGTAAACTTGACCCAAAAGTCAGCGTCCCCAATTGTTGCTTCTTTTGCCGCTCTATCCGCCCTCTCATTGCCTTCGATCCCCACATGTGCAGGTATCCATGCCAGCGATAACTTCCCTTTACCATCCCGTCCTTTCTCCACCTCAAAGTTTCTTTTCTTAATCCTGTTTCTAATCTTATCTATCTCATCTCCTATATCCTGCCCCCTGTTATCTTTTGCTATTTTCCTTACCGTGCTCAAAGAGTCCGATAAAATTACAACATCCCTTCTCCAGAACCTCCTATCCGCTATCTCCACTGCTTTTCCTATGGCAGTCATCTCTATCGTATAAACAGAGCATTGACTTGGGGCTGCAAAACTCTCCTCCTCCCATTCCTCTATACCTTCTTTTATCACAATCGCTCCTCCCCCACTCTTCCTACTCTCTATCCTGGATCCATCAGTATACATCTCCACTACATTCTCCACTCTACCAAACATTTTCAATTTGATCTCCCCTATTAAGTCTTCCTCCCTCATTCCTAACATCTCAAAACTCTTCCCACACTCCCATTCCAAACACCTCTCCATCCTATACACTCTCCACTCCCCCTTATATTCTATCACTTCCTTCCTACTCATGCCCACTTTCACCTCTCCAAATCTTCTCCAAGCATCTATCATTATATCCCTGCCCTCAATAATCTCCTCTTCATTACTATTTCTAATCCTGTCCTCAATAGCACCCGCTACCTCCCCGTCTCTATTCCAAAATTTCCTAGGAATGTACCATTCCGCCAAGGTCCTAATTCTTGTTTCCAGATCCATAATTCCCGCCTCCGTTTCCATAACGTTAATCGGAGTCGACATCCTATACCCCAAAGCAATCCTAATTCCTGCATTATGCACCTTCTGCACTTTCTCTCTATTTCTCTTGGAGTTCATATAAAAACAAGCTCCATATTCAATTACTGATCTAATTATAGCTATAAACACTTTCAGGACCGTCTCCAGTCCTGTACCCTTCCTTATTCCCCCCAGACACTTTAATATATTCATTCTTTTCTTTAATTTTGCCACTACATAATCAGTATGTTTTTTGAAATCCAGACCTCTATCTATCCACATCCCCAAAAACTTTGCCGAATCTACCTCCTCTATCCTTTCACCCTCTATTCTAAATTCCTCTCTAGCTACACCTCCTCTCCTCCTAATGAACTTTACAATTTGTGTCTTCTCCATTGCCATATTTAGCCCTATTCTATTCAAATTTTCCTTTAATTTACTTATTGCCTCCTCTATCTTCCCTTTCCTTTCTCCTCTCCTTTCAAATTCCATAAATATAACAATGTCATCCGCATATTGCAAAATTCTCACCCCAATCTCTCTCAAACCTTTAACAATCCCAACCGTATACAAGTTATACAATAATGGACTCAACACAGACCCCTGTGGTAGCACCTTCTTTAACTTCATCTCTATCCTGTTACCCCCTAACATTCTTATCTCTATCTCCCTTCCTTTTAGCCATGATTCAATATAGTTCGCTGCTTTCCCCGGACATCTCATATTCCTCAATCCTTGTATCATTACTTCGTGTCTCACATTATCATATGCAGACTTGACATCTATAAACGCAGCCATCACCTTCCTTCCTCTTCCCCAGCTTTCCTTGATCCCATTGATCAAGATTCCAATGTTGTCCATTGTCGATCTGCCTTTCCTGAAACCGTTTTGGTTAATATCCATCTTATTTTCCTCCTCAGCCCATACCGTAATTCTCTCATTCACCATCTTTTCCAAGATCTTTCCCAAGCAATTCATTAAAGAGATCGGTCTCAAAGCTCTCTTTTGCGGTTTGGGAATGAACTTTAAAATTGCCTTCTTCCAAGCTTTTGGAACTAAGCCTTTATTCCATACCTCATTATAGATCATCAATATCGCCTCCTTCTATCCCTTCGTCCATAACTTCATTACGTCATACGGGTCATACCACGCCAAATCGATCACTTTTGGAAGTCACCATCTCCGATTTTGCTCTAATCGAAATATGTTGTAGTCCAT